TTTTGTAATGGGAATAATTTCTCCCAATGTATCTAGTTTTTTTTTTTTAAATCCCATTTTCATATATCTGCTTTTCTTCAAAGGGGGCCATACCTATCTAAACACAACTTAATTTGCATATTGATTTTAACAGCAATCCTCTCCGGGGATGTTTAACCCTAAGTTTCCTGGCGGTGGTGTAGTGCTTGCTACTCATATTTTAGAAAAGTCATTATAGCAAACCCAGAGATCTCCAAATCAGAAAATTAGATTTCCCCCCCTGCAGCCCTGTACTCCCATGCAAACGCCCCACACAAAGAATCAGGAGGCAGCACAGAGTTCTCTGAATTCTAGAGGCAGTACCCCGGAGTCTTTCCTCTCTGCTTGCCCTAAGTCACTCTCACTGAGCTGGGCAGGTGCAGGAACGGAATCTGGGTCAGTGGGGCAAGTGGGGACAGACATGTGCTGGGGGCAGGCAGGAGCTAGGTCAGTCTTAGGAAATGCCTGCCAGTCCTCTGGCTGGACAGAATTGTGAATCATTTCTTCCCGGGAAGAGGCAAGCCCGCGTGCTTTTATAAATACAGTCCGGTTAATGGGTCAGACCCCTCCCCTTCTCCTTCTGGAAAACACTTCACTGTTGCACTAACTGCATTCGACCAAAGAGCTTCCGAATCGCGGGACGGTAGGTTTTAAGCTGCTGCTCCTTTAAAGGCGGAGCTCCATCCTGTGCCTGCCTGGCAGAGCCCGTGGTTAGGTGGCCATAATTAGTGAGGATGCTCCGTGTACAATAGCGAGAGGCCAGAGGCTACTTCCCAGACGTGGGAAGGGAAACTTAGTTCTTTCCTAGTCTCCTTTCCAGTAAGAGTGCTGCTTTCTGCCTACGACAAGCAAACTTTGGCTCTCTTCAGTTACAACACCCTGAAGACGGACACAGAGATGGGAAAGCACACAGCTCCGATACGTGATCACCTTGGCCAGAGAAGCAGCTCGGCCCCCAGCCCCTGGCCCCCAGGGATGTCTGTCCAGCCATCCTGGCTGCCAGCTCGAGAGGAGGCATTCCTGGAGGTTTTTGCAGACAATCCAGCCTCATGGCAGCCACGGTGTTTCAAACTGCCCCTGGGGCCTCGGGCCAGGGGTGCCGGGTGCTGGGGGCCGTGCTGCCTCTGCCTGTTGGTCAGGCGCCCCCAGGGCGCGCTCCGCGTGGGCACAGCCACCGTGCTGCGTGGCGGGCTGCCCGGCTGTGTGGGGGCGGCCCCACGGCGATGTGTCTGGAGCACAGTAAAGTCCCGCCTCAGCTCCGCCGCTCTGTAGAGAGCGGACTGTACTGAGGGAGAGGGACAGTGGGCAAAGTGCAATGGCTTCACTTTAGCTGGGCAGTTCTCTCCACCTCAATTGACTTGTCATTTCCCTCTGAACTTGAGAGGAGGGGGAGGACCCAGGGGAGGGCCTCAGGCCATGCTGGCCATCCCGCTCCGCAGCCCAGCTCCCCGCGCCTGTCTCTGAGGGACAGGATGTCAGACACACACACAGAGGCCCCCAAGGGCGGGGCTCTGTGGCCAGAGGAGGAATTTAATTCCCTAAGGCGACCAGAATGGTAAGATGAGGATCCTCCCCACACGGACTCCAACCAAGCCCCAGTCCGGAGGATGCAGGGGCACAACCGGTCCAGCAATGAAAGGCTCCGGCATTTGGGCTTACACCACATTTCTGTGGGGAAATTCTTCCCCTTACGTACCTCTACCCGGAATCAATGCGTGTGCAGTTTCCATACTGTTATAATCTCAGACTGCAAACTAGTAATCCACCACCTTCCTACCTAAACTAAGTATGTAAAATGACAAAAGGTCATTTAAAAAAAATAAAAATTCTGAAAGAGATGAAGTTGACTGTTCAGAAATTAAACATTATTCATTACTTACAGAAAACAGTAATTATGTTTTTGAACACAGTCAGTCGGTGGTGCAATGGTTTGTCTAGGTCAGGGGTGGGGGATGTCCGGCCCGCATGCAATATAAGTCCCCGAAATCTTTTGGTCTGGCCCTGCCTAGTCACTAGGGGCGAGTTAGTTGAATGTCTGACCAAGTACAGCAAGGTAATGTTTACGCTGATAACTGAGTGGCCTGTGAGTGATGCTATAAATACCCACACTGTGGGCGCTCTGACAGCGTGCTCCCCAGTGCGGAGGCCGATTCGGGAGGGGACTGGGACATAAGAGAAGATCCACTCCCACGGGCTTCCTCCTAAACCTGATTTTTCTCAGTGAAATCAGCTTTAGATCACAAAAGGGAAGAATTCTTGTTTAATATTGATCAGGCTCAGTCTTCACCTGAGGTAGAATCTGAGGTAGAACATAGGGAACCAGAATTTCACTCTGGGCTCCACTGTACATTTATATTCTATTTGGATGATTCATTTAACTCTTCTTTTTTGCCTCAATCTCCCAATCTGGAAATGAGGTCACTTCCCCCCCCACCCCCCGCTTTGTGACAAAGCAGTCTGGCAGTCTCTGGTTCTGGGCACCGAGAAAGGATCTAAAAGCCAACGTGAGCTCCAAAGGACGGGGTCCTGGCCTGTCCTGAGACATCCCTGCTGATCTGTGTCACACCGGGCTGGGTCTGGGCTCCCTGAGAGACAAGATCACTTCCATCTCTTTCTTCCTTTCCTATTCCACTAGCTGCAAAAGTGGACCTCAGCCACAGAGAGTGCCCAGTACCCAACATGCCCATCTGCTTCTCTAACGATTAAGACGGACAGGAAATGATGCCAATCTCCAGGTTTGAAAAATGCTTCACAGATTGAAAGCTAAAGCATGCTCAACGTGGTCCTCACATTTGCTCTGTGAGGGCCCTGTCCTCCCTTTCTGGATGAAGAGATTTTAACCGATGCACCTGCAGGCAACCTAACCAAGACTTTACCTCGCTGCTTTTATCCCACACCCACTGCTCATGCTCCCAAGCTGCCCTGGGCCAGAGCCTGTTTCACGTTTAGCAGACTAAGGATTCTTTCTCTAGTGCCATTTTGGTCAAGGTTAAATAAATATGGTTTTCTTCAATGCGGACAGTAAATTGATAATGAGATGATTTGTAACAAGTGATTAAACGGCCATTGCTTGGGAGTCTCCTCCCTCTCGCCCGCCCATGTTTCCGAAGTGGAAAGGTGCCGGGTGAAGGTGGGAGCGATGTCACTTCCCTCAGAGAGGAAGAAGCCTCCGCCCTCCCCCTCGCCACCCAGGCATTCCGCAAACAGATGTCCGAGAGGATCCCTCTCCCTACCACCCAGGCACTCCGGAGGGATGATAACAGCTATTGGGGGGTTAAGAAGAGGCAGTGAACCCCCAGTTAATGAGCAGGAATTCAGCAGGCAGGGTAAGATAAATGGAGCTCTCTCTGCTTCTGCTAGAGTCAGCATGAACTGCGGCCCTGCGGCTTGTTTGTGGCAAATGGAGTGCACGAAATATCAAAGGGCAGTGATCCAGAAGAAGACCGACTTTGACAAATTTTAAATTGGCCAGAAAGAAAACCAGCAAAAAAGAGAAGAGAGAGAGAGAGAGAGAGAGAGAGAGGGAGAGAGAGAGGGAGAGAGAGAGGGAGAGAAAATTATGCAATTTGCTGTGTCCTGCAATTGTGGCACTGCTGCCTTTGTACGGAATTAGTGGTACAAACAGCAGCAACGATCGCCGGATGCTGGGAGCAATTACGCGCCATCTAAGTGAGATGCTTATCAGTGGCTGAAGCTTTTAGCGCTTTCTGTGTGTGCAGTTGTGAGGAACTCGCTCTTGAGCTGCAGTTCCTTTAATTAAAGTGTGTGGGGCTGGTCAGAAGTAATTATCCTGTTGGAGAAGAAAGAGGGGAAAGCCCACCTCAATGACTCTGGGTGGCAATAGGTTTTAGAGACAACTTTGCCAATTTCTTGTTGTGTGTGTGCGTTTCCCATGAAAGGAGCAGGCTGCAGTGGGTTGGTTACTGGTGGCCGCTGCCTAATGGCAAACAATGGGACACAAATAGTGTTTGCGGTCACTGTGTGGGGCAAGCAATCTGGCTCAAGACTGCAAACCCAGGATGTGCCAACTGTAGACTGGAAGCAAACACTAGAAGTTTCTGCGTCTCTAGGTGGTGAGGATAGAGTGTCCACAAATGGCACTTCATTAATTAAATTACTATTTGGAACATAAATGAGCTAGGATCTCTCTTTTTTACACTTTCCATTCACTGCGTTTCACTACATTTTAAAGACAATCTCTCTGCTTCCCTGAAAACAAAACAAACCAACAAACAAAAGAAACTCAAGCAATTATCTTTACTAACACAGCAAGGGGCTTAATGGGAGACCTGGGCAGAAAATCAGTGTTTGAAAAGAATCTGAAACTCATTCAGACTCTGAACTCAACACAGGGCTCCCACGGTGCAGTCCTGTGTGCAAATTGCAATGCCTTCCAAAAGCCCCAAAACAAATGAGCAACAGAGCCCGGCTGGAGGCACCGAGTGGAACGCTCCCAGGGCTTCTGCCGCCACAGCCTCTGCTCGGAAGCACGGGGTGCACAGTCTTTATTCCATTTCTCCGGCTCAGAATGGCCCATGGCACAGCCGGGGCAGGTTTCCGGCTCTGCTATCCCAGGACACTGACTCTCACATCCCTCAGAAACGAGGCAAGTTTGCCCAAAGAGACGAGCAGAAGCAGGATATTTAAATCGAGCATATTCTCTGACTGATTAGCCTGCCCCAGATAGCAGCTTCTAGCTGATCATCCTTTACAAGGATAGCCACGAGCCTGGGAAGACGGGCTATTTGAACTATAAGGACCAGAAGAAAAATCGGGGGACTTTTGCTTTTTTAGGGCCCGCTCTCCCTCCTGTTACACACACTGTTTCATTCTACCAGGGTTCTTACCATATAGAGGACAGTAAATAAAGATTATCATGAATTTGATCAAATGCTTCAGTGCCTCCTCCCTTGGCCTAGAATGCACTCATTACAAATCAGTTGAATGGCTCATTGATTTGCCAGGAGCACAAGCAGACATACCCAATCGCTCAGCCAAGTGGATGTAGACGGGGTCCAACCGACGCATGGTTTTCACCAGATCCTTTTTGCGGAATTTGATTTCTACGGTCCCTTCTGGTTCCAGAACGGATGCCCTAGATCAAACAGAAAGAAAGAAAACATAACAAAACAGAAATAGAGGCACTTTAAAGGAAGGAGACAACAGAATGAGGCCAGTTACAATTTGTGGACCAGGAAATAGCTTCATTATGGTTTTGCCCACCCATGGTTCTCGGACATAATCCCAGGGAGAGAAGCAGGCACCAGAGAAATATCCCAGTGAGGTATGAGAAAGGCCTGGCAAAAGGCAATTAAAGCATCCTCATTACCACACCAGTCTACTTCCACCTCAAAGGGAGAATAGGATTCCACCACCTACAGCTGATCAGGGCCATAGGAATCCCATTATTTTCCGCTGGCAGGGGAACAGCCTCCAGCCCTTAGGCCGTGCAATGAGAGGTTGATGCCGATAGTCCTACACACAGCTGCCAGTCTGCTGGCAGCACGAGGCCAGGCCAAGCAGTAGAAAATGTTCTGCCTACTGCTATGGAAATGACAAAGTGAAAGGTCTCAGGTTATATCTAAAGATGTTCTATGGCCAGGAACTTACCTGAACACCTTTTTTTTCTGAACTTTTACAATGAAAAAAAAAAAAAAAATTCTAGCTCATGGTTACTATGCACATGGCACTGTTCTAAGAGCTGACATAAAAACGTTCACAGCAGTCCTGTGCCCAGTCTACAACTCCTGTGAGGTCAGTTACTATTATCCCATCTTACAGATAAGGAAGTGAAGGTACAGCAATTGAAGAGACTTGTACAAGTCTAACAAGGGACAGAAGTGTTTTAAAACCACAGACTCGTTCCAAAATCTGCACAAGAATTGTCTTTGATCTGGTATCAGATCAGGGGCTAGGTTAGCACTTAAAAATAATAAGTTCCGCCAAAACCGGTTTGGCTCAGTGGTAGAGCTTCGGTCTGCGGACTGAAAGGTTCCGGGTTCAATTCCGCTCAAGGGCATGTACCTTGGTTGTGGGCACATCCCCAGTAGGGGGCGTGCAAGAGGCAGCCGATCGATGGTTCTCTCTCATCGATGTTTCTAACTCTCTATCCCTCTCTCTTCCTCTCTGTAAAAAATCAATAAAATATATTTAAAATAATAATAATAATAATAATAATAATAAGTTCCTAAGCACAGAACTTAAGCCTAATGATTTGGCAATACTACTACTGAGCTCTCCGAAGCAGGTTCTGAAGAGGCTGACATTTTTTGGGGAAAAAGGGACACATGTTTTCTAATAAAATGACTAGATATAGGAAATGGCTTGGAAGATACCAAGGAAATAAGTGAAATTTACCTACTTTGGAAAGGGTTGAAAACAGATTATGAAAGGAAGCAGCATTGGATCTTTTTTACTTAAGGATGTTCAGGTATCACCTTCCCACAAAAACCTGGGATTTTCTTTTGAAGTTTTCTGGGTGCTGCAAACCCTGTGTTTCCCAAGCCTCCTGTAATGCCAGAGTAGGACGCTGGTCTCTGAGGGAGAAGCTTTGGTTTAGAATCACAGGATGTGGGTGCCGTGCTGGACCTCAGAGGCCGCCCAGCCGGTCCCACAGACAAGGAGAAGCTCCGAGGAGAGGGAGGACTGCTCCCAGTTCCCCGCTAGCCAGCGGCAGCGCTGGGTTAACAAGGCCCTAGAACCTCACACTAACAATTCAGTTCTTCCACTCCAACTTGCTTTCAGCTCCTTCTGCAACATAGCGGAGGGAGAGGGTGCATAGGCATATCTGAACATGCAACAGGAAGAGAGACTCTCTGAGGCTGGGGTGCCTGGAATAGAAGGTTTTGTGGTAAAAGAATCTGGAGTGGGTGTCACACTGAGCGAACCTGCCTGCAGCCTCATTCCATCTCCTGCCAGCTGACACCATTTGGAAAGTCCTTTTCTTTTGCCCTGGAGTCCTCTGGGAAAGGACAGGTGCAAATAAGGTTCTCCCGGTCATGTTCTCCAGGAGGAAACCAGCAGCCAGAGGACGCCTAGAGGCAGGGAACGGAAACAGGAAGGAGGCTACCTGCTTTCCCGGTCGGCATACATCTCCATGTGCCGGGGGTTGATGGTGGGATCGATCACGACCCAGGAGCCGCCCCGAAGTTCGGCATGGGGAGGGATGTAGACCATCACAGGCTGCGAGCACTCCCGTAAGCCGTCCACGATGTAAGCACCAAATTTCAGCACTTGGTCGTACATATCTATGGAGAATGAGACACATTGGAAATTAAGAAACCATGTTTCCGACACTGATCACATCATTGCATCTAAAAAATGATATTTAAAAGCATGCTGTGCCTCCACGAGGCAGCCTCTGACAGGCCTGAGGTTCAAGCCCCCCAGGTCCTGTTTGGCTCCCAAGAAGACCAGAGATTGGTAGCTCCCCCTATAGTCCAAAGCACAGAGAAGGACATGGTCTTTCACAAGACTCAGTGTGCACGTCCATTCATATGCTCCCTGAGTTTCTGTTTTGGGTCTCACCACATTAATTCACACTTGCTCTACAAACATTAAGTATTTTTCATGTCAATATGTGATCTTTCTCCCTACATTTTCTAAAGAAAGGAACTATTCAAGCTCTTCTCAGGACACTTAGCATGATAAGCTCTTAATATGTGCAGCTGATGGAAAAGGAGCCTTCAAGCCGAAACCGATTTGGCTCAGTGGATAGAGCATCGGCCTGCGGACTGAAAGGTCGCAGGGCATGTACCTTGGTTGCGGGCACATCCCCAGTGGGAGGTGTGCAGGAGGCAGCTAATCGATGTTTCTCTCTCATCGATGTTTCTAATTCTCTATCCCTCTCCCTTCCTCTCTGTGAAAAATCAATTAAATATATTTTAAAAAAAAGAAAAGGAGCCTTCAAAAACTGCACCTTTTATCTCTGTGTCCAGAGTGTCCTGCCCAGTGCCTGGAACACAGTGCTCACCAAGTGCCTGCTGAATGAATGAGCATACACACACTTTGGAAAGAACGCAGTGAGAATGAAAAACGAATTCTTTAATGTTGCATGGTCAGGGTTTCAGTGAGAGGGGAAACATGTAAATGCATGTGTATTTATTGGAAATGTCCCAGAGACACATAAAAAGAGGAGCCACCTCTTCATTTTGCTAACGAGTACACTTTGTAATGTCCCCAAGGCCAAGAGCAGCCTAAGAAAAGACCTCTGGTACATAAATAAAGTGAGTCCTTGGAAAGTGGGATCCTTTATTTCCCAGTAATTTATGAACTTCTTCCCATTTCCTAGTTCACTGAAGTCTAAACATTGCTGAAGTTTGAGGTTTATGACTTCAGATGTTTAATGAGTACTTCAGTGGAACCACAATGGATCCTTTTTAAACACCAAATAACAGGTTCAACAGAGTTCAAACTTTCCTATCAAGGAGAGGATCTCAATTTGGAATAAATCAAATCTGGAAATCCAAAGCAAAGAAGCATTTTTCAGGAAGTTAAAAAAGAACCAAATAGAAATTGCTTTCAATATAGTAACTGGCAAATTAAACTGCCACCTTCTCCAAAGTAAAAATGGCTCCATATACAAACCCTCAGTGGGCAGAGTTCATTGCAAGGCATATGCCTCTCCAATGCCCCAACCTGACTGGACTCTAAAGATTTCAAATTCCAAAACTCCAGAAGTTTCCCCAGAAAAAAACTTCCTATTCTGTGAGGAAATGTGTATGATCATACTCTGTAAGTTTGATCAGAGCAAAGACATTTATTCCTTTGGGAGGAAAGCAAAGACAAAAAAATTTACTGCCAATTACACAACTGCTGTATGAAAGGCAGAGAATAAAAGACTTTAAGCATTTTACACTAATTCTATGGTTATGAAAATAATTGCTCAGTTCAAATTATTTTAACTAAATTAATTCTTTAGTGGATATTTCAACCAGTGCTACATAATAAAATAATTGTGTAATTAGCGATACATTTTTCAGTGCTGCCAAGAGGACAGTCTCAGAACAAGTAACAAAAAGGAGTGGCCCTCAACGGTATAACACACAGAGAAGAAATAAAAGGCATAAATAAAAAGCAAAACAACAGAAAAATAGCACAAAAAGATCATCCTATGTGCAAAAGAAAAAAGTAACTCAGAAATAAATGGAAAGTTTCTGACTTCTTTAATAGTTTTTTTTAAAGACACACCTACATCAAAATCTGTCTCTGTACTATCTATGATTAATAGACCCAGGTCGCCAAAAGAAAGGGGGGACTCTGAAGCGTACTTCCATGTAGTTAATTTTAAAAGTTGGCTTCATAGTATATGCAACTAGTTTGGGATGAAGTTGAGTATGTGTGCATTTTTTATTTCTGTGAAATGGACTGTGGTCTCTCTTTTTCATCATCATAGCTAGTTTAGTGAATACCAAGAAGCATGGGTTCATATATATTCACACATAAATTATTCAGTCATCAGAAAATCATCTCATTCTTATATCCAAGTTATAGGTGAGTAACCTTGGCTTAAATAAGTGGCAGAGATAAGACTTGATCCAAGATCGTTTGGGATCTAAAATCCACATTCTACTACCTCATTCTTACTGCAGAGAGGGCACGAGGCTGAGGTAGTCTGCTTTCCAGCATCTGACACGATGGTGAGTAAAACAGAAACCAGAAGAGACTTGAATAAATGATTCAATATTTCTAAATTTCGCCTGGATTCTTTGAATGGCCAGAAATTGTACTGACAATACCATCAGCTTGTACCAAACAATTATCTTCCAGGCCCCAAGACTGAGTAGAAAAGGGGCATCAAGGTTTATTATAGCTCACAAACTGGGGCCTGCAAACAATACCTCCATCTAACCTGGAATACCAACAGACCCGCAATCCAACCATCAAAATACCCAACAAGCAACAAAGGCTATGGAAACATAAATATAAACACACACACACACAAACTCTACGAACAAATCTCACACCGAGTCACGGCTGCCCCAAGCCAGACATTTTGAAAGGCAGGTTGAAGCACTTGGCAACAATCTGACACATACTTGTCTGAAACCCATTTTTACGAGAGCAAAGTCACTGCCAAGAACAGCAAGGGAGGGGCTCTCCCCAAGGGTTTAGGCTACACATCAGTTCAGGGAATTTTAAAGCTATGCATATGCTGACTGTCAATTCTTAGGCCATAAGAAATGCAACTGGGAACGGAAAATACTGATACGTTCCTCACTGGAGAGGCAGGAGCTTGGAGCTTTCTAAGCAAAGAACATCTGTGCGAACGGGATCACACGGCTCTTGCAATGTGTTCTCAGCACCCAGACACCAACCCTGCCAGGGCCCTCACTGTTTCACAGCATGGCTAACCGTGGCCACCACATGCACCAAACAAGGAAGCAGGGTGGCAGGTTGTTTCCGCAGTGCCCCACACTCTGCAAGTTAGAACCGATCATACTGACTTGGGGGAGATTATCTGTTAGAAGCTGAAGGTAAACATTAGGCATACATAAGCTATACACACACGCTGTCTCATGAGTTCATTATGGCTGGCTGACACTCTATTTCAACATCCAAGTAATCAGAGACTTTAACATAAGACTTTCATTCCAGTTAAAGTTTTCAATAAATGTTTTTTTATTGTTATTTATAACCTGTCCCAGGAAAAAATAATAAGTATAACATGAAAAGCCAACTGAGAGTGACCCTGTAGCACCAGCAGTGAGGCGGCTTAATATCACTGGGATTTGCATCCTATCAAGCTATTCATGCTGAGGCTGGGACCCTGGTGCTAATTTCTAGTAAATTTCACGCTTGATGTCTCCCTGTTGTGGGTCATTGCCGGTTCGTCTAAATAAACTGCTTCCAAATGGCTCTTCCATCTAAATATTCAGCCAGTTTTTATAATTTAATTTTGCATTATGCTGAATAGCCTTCCGGCCAGATAGAACTCATTGGAAAAAAAGCACCAATACCATCTTGCCATGCTTTTATTTATTTATTTATTTATATTTTTACTGCTTGAATTAGACCTCCTAGGCCGACTAGTAAAGAGTATCTCCCCCCTCCCCCCACTAATGTCAATTTTCAGCATAGCAAGAGCTGTCTCTAATCTTTTCCTACTCATTACACACAATTTTGGAGTCATTTTACCCACAGTGCAGTCGGCTCCTAGCTGTGTGTTTGTGTGCACTGAGGGATGGCATAATTGTTTATTTTCCCTCTCTGCATAATCCCCAGCCAGCATTGAAACCAAAACTGCAAACATCTCCCCAAGGGATATGGAATAACTCTCAGCCTAGGTCCCGTTACATGAGATAATATGTAGAAAACATGCTGACCTGTATGTAAATATGAAAGGCTATGTTCTTCCTCCCCTCTCCTACTTTCACACTGATCTCTATCTTCCCCAAAGCTTTTTTGTCTTAAGTAATGTGTAAATGGATGCAGCAGCACCGAAATTCAGAAAACAGAGCTGGCACTGGTCTACAGCAGCCCAGAAACTCATTTTTTACCAGAAGTAGGGGGGAGGGGGAAAAGGGGAATTATTGTTTAATGGGTACAGATTTTATGTTGAGGAGGATGAAAAAGTTGGGTATATACAGTGGTGATAGTTACCCAATATTGTGAATGTATTTAATGTTGCTCGATTGTACACTTACAAATTGTTAAAATTCTATATAATAAAAGCCTAATATGCTAAGTGTCCAACCATTCAACCAGTCACTATGATGCACACTGACCACTAGGGGGCAGACACTCCAATCAGTAGGTTAACTTGCTGCTGGGGTCCGGCCAATTGGGAGTGGGTGAGACAGGCCAGAAACGCCCTGGACGAATCCATGCACCAGACCAGTTTTGGCCTGATCCCCACATTGCCTGGGATCCCCACATTGCACTGGGCCTCTAGTTATAAAATATTATGTTATGTATATTTTATCACAATAAGGAACTGTAACTCATTTCTGAGCTCTTCTCACAATAACCAACTCCAAAGCAGAGGGGAGACAGGTGAACAATAACTTCCTCTGGAATATATATCCTCTATTCTAGGGATATGCTAGCAGATCAGGTCCAGTCCTAAGTTCTAAAAATCAGCCAACTGTGCTATACTGTGCTATATGAAGTCAGGCAGATCCCTGTTCCTTTCCCAAATCTGTCATTTTTAGCTAAATGATCTTGGCAAATGTACTTAACCTAAGTCTCAATTTATGTAAATTACAGATAATAATATAACCGACCCCTTAGAGGTGCTTGTGATTATGTAGGATAATGCATGTGAAATGATGAGCACAGTGGAAACTGTGAAATGGTGAAAAGAGCTCAATGAACCTTAATTGTTGTTGTTCTTACTGTTACAGGGCTAGCAGCCAATCTAGGTCTGGGACCAAATATGTAGCAGAATTGAAGCTTTTCCTACAAGAGGCACATGGCAAACTTATGATCTCTGAACTCGTTAAGACAAAATAGCCAGCCTGACTTACTCCTAAGTAATGTCAGGAAGAGTGGATGTGTAATGCCCCCTGCCCCTCAGAAGAGATGTAACTAAGAAGTAACAGCATTGCGTTCTCTCTTAAATCTTAATATAAGTCTTACAGCCAAAGAATTTTGGATCAAGTGAAATCTGATGCTCAATGAACCCCATTATGTAAATGAAAGGGGTTTCAGATCCCTTCCCCCCAAATATAGCATTGTCCTCTTTTGAATATGGTGGTTATTTTGTTTATACTTTATACATTGACTTTATCATTCTGCCAAAGACATTTTTCTTTATTCCTTAAAACAGTGTATGTTTCAGACTTGTTTTTGATTTGTCTGCAGTAGCTAGCATAATTCCTTGCATACAGGAACTCAATAAAAATGTGTAGGATTGACTTATTTAACCTATACTTTCCATGTCTCATGGTATATCCACTGAATTGTTATCTTGATTAAAAAAATTTTCACCTTGATAGTCTATAAAAGTATGCAAACTTTAATTTGCATTTATAGTCTAAGTCTCTCCTAAGAAAAGTATAAAATGTGGTAGTTTTCCAGCAAAAATGGGCAAAGGGGCACTTTCCAACTAGAATAACAAAAAACCGTCCTAGTTGTCTACATTTTGCCAGGAAAGCCTGGCCCATCCAGGGCTTTTCCTAGCCAAGCAAGGAAAAGCTGTTAGCATAAGGCTCGCGAATCTCTCTCCACACAGAGCCGGTAACCTACAGAAGGGTAACTTCCCGTTTCCTCCCTCAGATCTAGAGACACCCCTAGCCCAAGGCATTTCGGGTGTCCTTCTAATCACTCTACTTACTCCAGCAGTATCAATTCCTCCCTCCTTCTGTCCCCCTAACCCACCCTACTACCCTTCAGAACCCTGAGTCCTGTGACACTCCTCAGCACAAATCCTCGCCTGGAATGTTCTGGCCTTAGCATGGCCATGAGTCTCGGGCCACTGGAGAGAGAGCTCTGCTTCTCGAAGGGGCAGAGCGAGTTTCCCGGGGTGTTGCCTGAACTGCCTGCAGTGGTTCTGCGCACACAGGATGCTTAGTAAATGGGGACACTGGCTGCCTAGTCACTAAGCAGCCTTTAGAATAATCGTCTAATAGGCTGGAGCCCAGGCCCAGGGCGGCTGTTGGGTAGTAATAAAGCATATCACAAATTACCACTAAGAACAGCCGCTGGGTAGACTTTGTTCGTTTTCTTCTGGTAAAGGCTAATTTCCCATCAGTCTTGGTCATTGTAAAGTGTTAAAGAGTAACGTCAACAAAAAGTATGTCCAGAAAAGAGGGATCATATTTTTCCATGACCATCATTCACCTGTGAAAGCTAATCCATAACAGCAGTCCACCTAGATAGCACTAGCAGGTTGTTCTGGTATTTTGTGTGAAACTGTAAAACATTGGATTTTCCCATTCTGGGTACCACTCAGACGATATCTCAGAGGATGCACAATCCCCCAAAAGCCTAGGGTGATGGGCTCCCAGGACACTCATAGGCTCTGTCCAATATAAGCCCCCCCACACACCCACCCTCACTGCAGGATTCAGGGGAACCAGTGAGGCCCCCCAGCCCAGAGCCAGGCACTCACCCTTCATCCCGCCAGAGAAGCCTCTCCAGTTAGCAAAGACCATCAGAGGCAGCCCTTCACGGTTGAAGTCCTTGATAGCCTGATAGGTTTTATATGCAGAGTCTGGGAACCAAACCTGGCCAGCCTGCTGGATGATCTATTGGGGAAAATGAAAAGAGAAGACACATTAATAACACAATTTGAGGGGGAATCTGTCCAAGGTGAATAAGGTTTGAATTTTTGATTAAAAATTCAAAATCAAACTAAAAATACAAACAAACAAAAACCCCACCAGGGTTGTTCATCATAAAGATGGTCTTTGAAGTAGCAAAAAGATCCTGGATTTCCGACTTTGTTCAACAATCCTGTTTGATTGCTGATGACACCTCCTCTCTTTAGTCAAGAGAGAGAAACCTACTGACTGCTTCTAATGGAAGGACGCGCTCTCAGTACCCTTGCTTTCCCCGGCAACTTTAGACTCCACTCCTCAAAGTGGCCAGCTGCACAAAGGCTCCAAGTCCTTCACCTCTGTGCTTAGTGCAGCCTTTCCTTTTCTGTGGTTAATAAAGAGACACTTACTGTGGCCCTGCTGAATAGCCTCCTCCCCGATCTCCCCACGGCTCATTTTCTGGATCTTGTCAGAATGTGAAAATGCTATCCATTCTTTAAAAAGGACTGGCTGTGGTGTTCACAATTTGGCAGACTCCACTATAATTCTAGCAGCAGCTCTTCCCTGAGTGTGTTCAGAGAATCTGGCACCAAAGAGCCTTTGGCATTGTCATGGCTTCCTTTCTCTAAGACCACGTCCCCAACTATTTCCCAGCATCAGCAAGACAACTGCAAAGGCCTATTTAATTTTTCTAGCAGAATTTATCTTGCAGTACATTTAGTGTCGTCTTAAGAGCACAAGATGGTCTGAACTCATTCAGGGCTGCTGACGGCCCTTCCTTCTAAAACTGGTGGTTTGCAGTGCTCCCAGCACATCCACAGGCTCTGCAGGCGGGCAACACAGCTCCAAGCACAGGGTACACTGAACTCGGAGTGACCTACCTTGGCTTCAGAATCCAGGTTTGCAGGATCAGCTGGGACACTTAGTTCTACTGTTCGGGTTTCTACGGCAACTACTCCCACAGGTATTCCTCCTAGCCTGGTAAAAAATGAGACACATAGAGCATAATGTGAGTCAACATCTCAGCTAGTCATTTATTTCCCATCCCATCTCAAAACATTGGGGTGAAAACGAGTAATACAGAGAGTGAGGAGAAGTCAGACTTCTAGGAGTAAGAGACTCTGGATTTGGTGAATATGGTAAATTTTTGTAAATACGACTGAAAACTAACCCCAGAATCACTCCTATTCTCCACCACAGGATCAATTCAAACAGAGGGCTGCACTAGGGGAGCCCCTAGCACTCAGATCCAGCAGCCTAGCTTGTGTGCACACATGTGCATTCACACACATCCGTCTCGTGGTTGCCCAATGGAACTTCTCAGTTCACCATAAAGTATCCCTTTGATGAAAACGGAGGGAAATAGTCCAAAAGGTAGTAAGAAGCTGAAACTCTCACGAACTGTTTTTAAGAAATGATGGCATTGCTGAAACAGTGCTGTAGTTCCTATGGAGTACTAATAGTGTGGTTCCAGATAGGATCTGAGGGTAGGTCTCACCCTAGACATGTGGATGGGGAGTGTGTAGGTATGTGATGAGGATGAAGAAAAATGTGTCAAGTGCAGGCAGGTGGTTAAACAATTTAACTTTCTTCTTCATTAGAAAAAAGCAATGGGACAGAGAAAACTTTCTATAGTAATCTTGGTGAAACAAATGATCAGTATTGGAAGAATATATTTTAAAATTAAGCTATGTTAATGTTAAGAACTGCCCAGGAGCCGAAACCGATTTGGCTCAATGGATAGAGCGTCAGCCTGCGGACTGAAAGGGTTCGATTCCGGTCAAGCGCATATACCTTGGTTGCGGGCACATACCCAGTAGGAGGTGTGCAAGAGGCAGCTGATCGGTGATTCTTTCTCATGATGTTTCTAACTCTCTATCCCTCTCTCTTCCTCTCTGTGAAAAATCAATAAAATAAAAAAATAAAAAAATAAAAAGAACTGTCCAGGAGCTCAAAGCTACCACATCTATATTCCATGATATTCTCCCAACATGATCCTCATAAAGAAAGTAGAAATCGAGAAGGGGGGCAGGGAGTGAGAATAGAGATAGAGATTGCAAGGTACAGGGCGAGTCCTTACTCAGAAATGTAATTCAATCTTCACTCTCACAGCTGCATTCCTTGGGGTTGGGACGGGGATGGGTTATAGTCTCTCATTCCCCCACAGCATCTCCATGACAAACTTTTCCATGAAAGATGGTCTTTGGTTGTTACACTGGCTACTGGAAATGGATTCCTGTCATCACAAGAGGCCTGGCAGGGGCCTGAGGAGGGACCACCCACTCCCTTGTCACTTGCCTGCACTGAATCAGAATCAAAAAGCCCTCTAGACAACCAGACAATGAGCAGGAGGTACACAGGAGGGTTCAGAAATATTTCTGTTCACAATGATTAACAATCCAACTGGAAACTTGTAATTGCAAAAGCCACCCTAAATCGGTAACTTATAACTTATATATTAGGGCCCATGTGACCTAATAAAGAACATCTTTATCCGAGTATTACAGTTATTTATTGAACTTGAAAACAGCTCAGAACAACTTCTGTTTTCTATTATACTTCATATAAATTTTATCAGGCTAGCACATGAAGATGCTACATCTTGTTTTATAGTGTGTCCCTGGACAAGGTGCCATGGAATAATAAAAGACAATTTACAGCCAATAGCACACATATTCCAAACATACATACCAAAGATGAGTTTTGGCAGCACTTACAGTAACAATCCCAGAAGAATACATTTATATTTATTTCTCGAAATGCCATTGCTTTTGAAAGAAGCTAGCTCCATTTGTGTTTTATATACTTGTGAGCATGTGTATGTGTTTGGAGCAAGAAGCCCAGAACTCATCAGATGGAAAGAAAGGAAGAAGTCAGAGTGAGAGTCACAATTAACAATGGCAGAGCTAGCCAAAGCCACACTTGACTGATCTTGCTCTCAGACAATCCCTGTTCTTCCAATCATAAGTATAAAGCATTATTCTCTTGTTTCCCATGGGAGAATCTTAAAGGTTTTAACAAAGGTTTGGCTTTTGGAGGGTTAAAAATCTGTCAGGATTTTTACAGACAAGAAAACTGCAACAGAATAGGTGAGAGGAACATTTTCAGGAAAGATGGTCTGAATGTGGGCAAACTGAGAGGTCCTGGGTAGAAGGACTCTCTCTGTCTCTGTCTCTCTGTCTCTCTGTCTCTCTGTCTCTCTCTCTCTCTCACCCCCAGAGGGAGATTTACCAGGCACAAAGAATTCTCACTGGGACCCAGAGGCCTGGGGTCAGGTGGAGGAAGACCCGAGATGTGGTGAGAGGAAAACGGGAGCCAGTCCCTGGGGTTCGTCAGGACCGACTCCTGGCCTGCCTCTTATTCTTGCCACAGAGGAAGATCCTGCCTGCGGGATTTGCCATCTGATGGCTCCTTGTCACGGATAGCACGAGCCGCAATGACCTGCTATATTGAGAGAACCACAAAGCCTAGAATTATTTTCAAGGCTAGAATCTAAATCTCAACCCAATGTGGCATGTTTGAGAGTCTTGAGCAGGTGCCACTTTTCACCAAGATAAGAAAAACTGATTGCCCCCGAGAGGAAGGTGAGCTCCAGATGTGGGTCCCGAGGGCAGCATGTCTCTGCAGTGCAGAACGAGATTAAGATCAGCCTTGGCGAGCGCTACAGATTATTTCATGCGGAGCTTGCTGTTGAGTGAAGCACTTCTTAGAATGGGTATTAAAACCTAATAGAAACTTAAAGTTCCCACTTGAAAAATATAGGTATCCCAGCTTATTTGACTCACTCCAGTTTCAGGTAAACTCCTTTTGTGGGGGGTAATTCAAATATGACGATAAACCAATATAGTGCCACTAACTTGTTACTTAAATAAGCTCGATGACATGAAGGAACTTCTTTCAAGTTACATAGAGAAGTAGGTGAGACCGAGTTACTTGTCACCTACTTCTGAAAGAAAATGGTCTTTGGGAAGGGGGCGGTCATGGGTGGGCTGTGGCTATCTACAGCCCCTAAACAGCATTTCTCTCAGCATTGTAACGAGGAAATACTGTCGAAACTAGACTTTAGATCAAACGCGTCACTGGAGACACACACTGAATGACTGCTGGGAACCGGTCTTCCGGTTACACTGCCTCTGGAATGCCCACGATCCAATATTCTTAGAAAGTTCAGACACAGAGAGCATTATTGGTGAGAACCTGTTTCCTTTCTTGTTTCCAGTTGGGAGGTGAGTTTCCAGAACAAAGGAGCTCTTACCTGGCTCTGCCAACCACCACGGTCTGTGCCCACGGCTGCAAAATCTCTGAGAAAGACCCACAGTCAAAAAACCCGCTCAACCACTGGCCTTTCTGAGCTACGGAGGACAAGAAAGAAAATAAATCAATTCACTGGAAATGCACTGGAATTAGCAAACTTAACGTTGGATTTGGGGGAGTATTTGGGGCGTTTGTTGTGTTTTTAACCGTATTATAATAGATGGAAGCATTAGGCAGCTAAATATGCATCTGACTTCAGACATCATCTCCTAGTTCATTTGCTAGACTGCATAAATAGATTCATTTATCAGCAAAAGCATCATTTATTGTTAAACGATGGGGCTCAGCTAGCAGAGAGAGTTTGCATTGCTTTTAAATAAATAACTTGGCTTTTTTCAAAACATCACAAACATTTGTCAAAAGGCAGCCAAGTCGTTAAAGATGTTTTCAAAATGTCTATTTCTATTTTAAAGCTTAGCTTACAATTTTGTTTGATTTCAATGATTTTCCTTTAATGGAAAGCTGAAGACCACCAAATGGTATTAATGTTCAAATGAGGACCCAAATTTGGGGTTAAAGAAAAGGGACTCGACTTTTCTGCTACAAAAGCAACAAAATATGCCTCCTCTTTATTTACAGCTGACTAAGTATAATCTCTCCACAAGAAAGGGCTATGCCTACATATAGACAGATAGCAAAAATATAATGGTTAAGATGCATATACTTAATGTCATCAACCTCCCTTGCAAATAGCATTTCCTTTACTGGCAGCACACTTAACTTTCAACACTTTAGTTTAAGAAAAAAAAATAAAAATAAAATAACAACAACATTAAAAAAAATACCCTTTTGTCCCAAAGGTATCTGTGTTTGACCAGGGCCCCATAAAAGCTTCTGCAAATAATGGTTTCCTAGCGTGCCCTCTCAGCTCATGGCTTCTCACTGATTCTTCTAATTTGAACATGGCCCTCCGCCCCCTAAAAACCCAAGTCCAAAACCAATTAAAAGTGGAGATCCGAGCAAGCTAACCTCTGCTGACTTAAACAGGATGGAGAGTGTTTTATCAAGACTAAACTTGTAATTATTGTGTTCTACATTCCTTGCCTCTATGGCCCCAGTGTAAAATGTGATCATCCATTTCAAAATTATCTCTCTATCGTGAGCCCAAAGCCGATCGTTTAGATTCTGGTCTCGTGTTGGGCGTCAGTTTGAAGAATATCACAGCACTATCTCCTCTAATAAATGACTTTAACTTTTCACCTAGAAGATATCTGCTTTAACTTATCACAGGGAATCATCTGCTTTCTTTAACGTTTCCACTAAATTAAAATCTGAAGTCACTCGATTTGGGAGCCAGTGTTAGCTGCACACAGACAGCAGGATGAATTACTAGGGAGTCCATGAAAAAATATTATCCAAAACCCAGAAAACTTAGTCTATCACAAATTCCATTTTATTCTGTAGATCTCATTAATAATGGCCAAGATTATGCCCCACTCTCCTCACCACACACGCCTCGCACCTGTTCACCCCATGAAAGAGAGCACAATTTTTGATGACGGTTCTAAACCAAATTTCTGAATGCATCAGGATATTGTAATTTTAACTTCATCTGCTTGGGTCATTTTATGACTCATACTTCAATAATAATAATTTAGAATTACAAAATTCATTTCAAAATGTAAATGTTTTCTTTTTAAAAAACCTTCCTGCCTTATATATCAAGTGGGGGCTGTGGCTATTATGGGGGGGGGGGGGGAGGCTTTACTGCCCTCAGCGAGCAGGTCATGTTCAGTTCAAACACAGAACTTAGAAGCCAGCTCCCATGGCTCCCCGTGATTCCTAGGGGAACATTCACTGAATCTTGTTCTGAATTTTCTCAGAAAAGTCCTGGATTTTATCTCAGTTTCATAGTGCTTACCATAAAAATGGTATAAAAAACGAGAGGTAGAGAAACTACAATGGTAGTTTTTCTGGCTACATAAGAAAAACTATTTAGTCTGATTAAGATCAATAAGAAAAGGTACTGAAGACAACAGGTAAATTTTTAAATTAAAATCAAACTTCCTTTGGTGATTTTTCTACACTATCTATAATTAGGCTTCAGATTTAGTCCCAGCCCCTAAGTAATCACTGTGTGACCCTGGGCAAATCATTTAACTTCTCTGAGCTCCTAAAAAACGATGATCTCTTTGTAGCTGTAAGAGGCAGCTAGCCCAAATAAGATTACGTATATAAAGTGCTTGATTACCCCACCTGGCTTAGAGTGGGTGCCCACAAAGGTTGATTAAGTCTTCCTTATGAAGACCTCTTTCCCTTTCAACTAAATCACAATAACTCAAATTTAATTATCCCTTTAAGTACAGCCTTTCTTTGCCATAGTTGCAATGAACATACAAAAAAGAACAAACACTTTCGTAAACACTTGAAACAATAGATTCTAAGTGGAGCAGGGGGACTTGGGGCTTCACAGAAGAACTTCCTAATGAGTGTGGTTTGTGAAACAGCCAAATGGACTGACAAAAGAAAACACACATTTGCCTTGCATGGAGTTACCTTTGTTTGTTTCTTCCTTTGTTTCTGTTCGGAAAGTTTGGGAAGATAAAATCGGCGTCAAGACAGGCGGCCATATTAGATAAACATGGACGAAGAGCTTGTTTTTGTTCTATATATTGGTAAAATTAAAAGTTCTGGACAATCTCTTCATGAATTAATGATCTTACATTAATAACTACAGCAAGTGCCAACACTATTACCAACATCGTAAGACACGAAGGGTGCATGCCGGTGGGCTCAGCAGTAGCTCACTGAGAAAGGTGTAGTCACACTTGACAAGGAGGGGCCCCAAAGTCTTTTTAACTCCGATCTGGTTAATCTGTTTATAGAAACTAAATGGCCAAAGATTCTGGTCCTGTAGTTCTATGACTTTATAGCTTATATTTAACTGTTTGAGCCATCTTTAACAGCAGAAGAAACAGAAGAAATGTTATTAGCGATTACACTGCTTATGACTCAATGGCTGATTTGCAAATCTCATCTCATTTTTCATTTGTTCTTAAAGAATTTTCCACCTTTTTCTTCAGATTTTTTTTTTTTTTTTTTTTTTTTTTTACTTCCACGTCTTTGTCTTGTGCTATTGTGCAGAGACTGGTCTGTGGTTGAGAAGAAAAACCCTAAAGCTGGAGGGCCAGGGACTACAGAATCCTTAATGATATACATACTTGGGTGAGGACGGCCTGCCAGCATCCATCGAGGATCATATGGGGCCTTTGTGGGGACAAACTCGATGATTCTATCTATAGGATCCTTGGAGTTCAGGATAGGAACAGAACTGGTCACGCTCTGAAAGGAGATTGGGAGGGAAAGAGGCAGCAGTCAGTAAACGTCAATCCTACACTCCAGCGTGGCAACAGTCATTACAAAGTCAACAGGGCCCTCATGCGGAGTTACCCCCATGAGCCCCGTCACCAGCTAGAAGCATTCCAAGGCATGCCAGGCCCCGAGGAGCAGGTGCAGGTCTCAAGTCCATGTGGACTCTGGCCCAAAGTGGTGCCTTCTGACTGCTTCAGTGTGCCCAGGCTTTCTGGGAAGCTTTCCAGGGGATTTAGCCCCAGCTCCTAAGTAAGAGCTGTGTGACCCTGGGCAAATCATTTAACTTAATATGATATTTTTTCCATTGACTTTTTAGAGCATGGAAGGGAGGGGTGGGGTAAAGATAGACAGATAGAGAACAACAATGCGAGAGAGTCACATCAATTGGCTGCCTCCCACACCCATCCTAACTGGGGCTGGGCATCAAACCTGCAACCCAGGTACATGCCCTTGACTGGGAATTGAACCCATGGCCCTTTGGTGCACGGGCTGATGCTCCAACCATTTGGCAATACTGGCCAGGGCCCAAAGGCATTTTAAGGTAGAAGGCAAAAGAAGGCTCTAAGAAAAAAAGGAGTCCACAGCTTTCCGAGGAACATTTCATAAAAGATTCCTGCAGGATGAGGAGAGCTCAAGTGCAGAGGCAGCAGCTGTGGCGAGAAGGCCGGGTTCTGCAGGCTCACCTTAGGCATGTACGACAGCCAGTGCAGGACAGTGAAGACCCCCTCAAAGTCATCACAAACGGTGCTGTGGGTCACCCCATTGTTGTGCATGATCTGGATGCCTCCGAGCTGGTTATTGGAGGTATATACTTCCCGCCCGAGGACCTAGAGCAAAAGAAAAGACATTGGTCTTGACAGAAATAAAAGCCAATTCTATTTTGCAATTCTCATTAAAAAGGGTTCTTTTTTCCCTAAGACAGAGATTCCAGCTTCCGTGGTTTGTTTGAAGGGACTTTCTGGACCTTTGTCCTAATAAGAAATCTCAGAAAACAAAAAAGAATTAAAAAAAAAAAAAAAAAAAAAAAAAAAAAAAAAAAAAGAGCAAGCCTCTCCCTCTCTTTCTCCTAACTGCCAAAGATATGCATGGCATACTTCACACTGAGCTGAAACCACAGCGGTGGGCGAGGCTGGGACCCTGAGACAGCGCTACCTCAGCACCTGCAGGCTGCGGAGTTACTGTGCACGTACACAAAACAGGCAATGTGCACGTCTTCTGACAATCGTCAGTCACAAGTCTTAGTTAAAGAAATGCTGTGAGGTTTAGATCCCCCCAAATCCCCCCCCCTTTTTTTTAAAGGATTACTTTCCCCCTTGTATTTGATTTTTAAAGCTGATCTCGATACATAAGCCCTAAGGCTGGCAAAATCCCGAAGCGTCTCATGATACAGACATGAACCCTCGAGTCTATAGTCCTTTGTGTGCTGGGTGCAGGGCAGTGATTTATACCCAAGCCCGCCTCTCTCCCTCTGCCCTTCCCTCCCAAGGTTCCCGGGAAGTTGAAGCTTTAAACTGGGGGGGTATCCCTAGAGTTTAACCCTTGTGAGGTAGACGGCAGGCACTTGCAATTGGAAACCACAAAGTTTCCGTTAAAGAAGAAAAGAGGAAGAAAAAAAAAATTTCTTGAACTTGGAAATTGTAGGGTTTCTTTTCCTCCTGAAGATTGGTTAGTAATTTCTTTCAGGGAGGGAGGTTTTCTGACCCAGCAGATGGAAGCGGGGCAGCCCGATCACTGGCTATTGCTACTGCTGAGTGTTAGTAATTGCCCGTCATCTAGGGCAGCCCTGGAGAGCCCTAAACAGTTGTGGAGTGCTTACTGTATTTTACTTCTTCTTTTCCCTCTCCTCTCCTCCTTTAGAAAATAACCACAACACAACAGTTCTTCCTTACTAACTTTTATTCATTTCCAGCCTCTGGGGAGAAACTAATAAATGAAAGACCAGCAGGTTCCATATATGCCTGCTGCCCCTTCTGGTTGGGAGCTCCGAGAGGTTCCCCCGCCTGCTGGGCCAGCCCGCACATTAAGATCTTCCAAAGGCTGAGGAAGTTAGTGACCAAGTAATCACCTCAGTGTGACCCTGCTGGCCTTGGTTCCATTTAACTTCAGCAAGGAAGGGCGGAAGAGACTCTCCACAAAAGCATTTGGAAAGCAAAAAATTGCTCTCAGATCGCTGCTTCCCTTGATAAGGAAGTGCCGAGAACAAGCCTTTGCAGGCAGCCCTGAGCTGAGCACCATGCCGGCAGCTCCTTTGAAGGAGCCCGGGAGCAGCCGAGGCCGCATCTGACCACGGGCTCCCATCCTCCTCTCAGCCCGTCTTTAATCTCAGCCCAGGCCGGCAGCTCTTTTCTCATTCTCCTGCTGTCTCTTTCCATTTGCCCTCTCTCTGACTGATACACTGATCTCTCGGTCACTCGGCTTTCTGCTCCACTGAGTCCATATTACTAATAACACCTCCGCCACGGCCAGTTTACCTCATGAAGGCAGGAGCACATCATTACAAAATAAACTCATAACTTTGACATTCTAGCAAATACACGCCGTTTGTTATTTTTATGGCTTTAGTCTTTCTAACAGGCAGAGGGCATTACATACCTGTTTCATTTATATCTTTAAATGTGTACACATATGCACACATGTATCAGGAAATAAAACAGGACAAAAAAAACGAAACCAAAACAAATATCCAAAGCAGGGGATGGAAGGGGGACCCCGGTGGAAGCAGAAACCCTGTCACTCAGGAAGGCCGTGCTCCGATCGGGCTCTGGTTTTATGGACGTCATAAACCTGATGGCCCACAACTGGTCCTTCTGGGACAGACCGCCTCTCTGCCACAAGCCATTCGGCATGATCAGCAGTATTTTTAATTATTAAAATAAAGCTGAAAAGGGGGGAAAGAAATAAAAAGGAGACCGTGCTGACTGTGAATACCTGGCATTCACAATCTCTGTTAGGAGCCAAGAACTTGCTGCCTAAGAGAGAGAGCTTAACCATTTTGTACTGAGAATTGCTATTTTCTTTTCTATAAAACACTGCCTCCAGTGCTTGATAATCTCCAGCCACTTAGAATCCCTCCAAAATCAGTAATGGGCCGACGAAGAACGCGCAGAGACCAGAGCACACCAAGAGCAGCACAGCTGATCAAACACACCTTCCTCACACGTCCTGGCCCCACCTTCCAAAGAAACAGAGCGTCCGTAACGGGGCACTCCCAGAGGCTCTGACACTTGCCCATTCCGCCCCATATTCTCACAAACTAATGGAGACAAACTGGGAAGGAGCAATTTAATAACTTCACATGTCTTCCCTTCACTCAGGTTCTGATGCTTTGTTCCGAAAAGGCAGCAGTATTTCTACACTTCCTCTCCTCTGGATTCAGAAAGAAAACTAATTGGAGCCAACCACAACCAAGAACATTATTTCTGGGCTAAACAAATGTTTGCCATGTGAGAAGATTCATTTAATTTTGCAATTGAAGAGAAAGAGAACAGGGTAGACAGAGTATCGGGATGGCTCTCTCTGACCAGCCTTACCTTAGGAGGTCGGGGGTGGGGAGGGGAAGGACACAGAAATGAAATCTGCTTCACTAACCACAAGCAAACGCTAGCAATCAGAGCTACTTAACAGTCGGTGAAGACAGCGCCGTCCCCTCCAGTTCATCTTCAATGACCGTATGTTTGGAGCACGCACCAGTAGAAGGAGGGCACACACAATAGCTCCTGATTTATGGGGGTCATTGCTGACTCAAGTGCTTTTAATGATTTTAGGATACTTCAGAACAAAAGCTCCAACCAAAGACGCAGAATCTGGGCTAGGACAAAACCCATTCTGCCTAACTCAGAAACGATCGTGCTGGAGCAGTTACGCACACCCTGGTCCGCATTGAGGGAGACAAAGGAAGGAGCCCACATAAGACAGAACCACTCGTTTATTCCTCAATATGTTGCCCTACCAACCTTCTACAGAGAAATAGGAGGTAAACAACTCCCATCACCATAATATCTTCATGAAGAAGATGCATTTCATTCATTAGTTTTTTTTCCAACTTTGACATATGCATTTCTATGTAAGTTGCTGCTATGTTTCATTCCCCAGATTATTTCTCTCACATTTTTCTACTGTATGACAAACTTTTAATTTATCTGCCCAACAAGCATCACTAACCATTTAAACACAGGAGCCATTCAAACAGAGGTGACTCTCCTGAGGCCCCACCTTACTGCTCCCCGGGTCTAAAGTGGAGAAGCAGTACCATGAAATGTTAAAAGCAGGCACCATCTGAAGAGAGCCCACACCAGCAGAACTGAATAAGGGCCGAGTCTGAGGGGAAAGAGGATCTTCATCCACTCTCTACGTAAACTTAAGCCTCACCCAGCATTCATTAATTGGGGCTGGCAGACCTGAGAATTAAGGGCACAGCATAAAAGTGAGGGATGAGCAGAGGCACAATTGTTAAAGGCCCCACCAAAGATGCCACGAAGCCTTTAGAAATTCTGAGGTACACAGGAAGTGCAAATGAATGCAGTCATACACGCATGCTAGGCCTCCGCAGCCCCTGCTGCTTATCTAGAGACGCTGCAAACAGCTCGGGTTTACCTTAACTGACAGGCAACGGAAACAGTCTAATATACCGCCTGCTCTCTCCCTTAAATTCTTTTTGGAGACCGAGATAAACACGTCCTTCCTTTCCCGGTTGCCCGCCTCCTGACTGAAGTGGCAGAGCATTGTGAAGCTCTGTGCAAATGAAATCACTATGTGATGCTGAATGAGTGTAGTATTTACTTATCAGGATATTTGTCAGCACAGGCATTGAGATTTCCAAGTTTCATAGAAGCAAGTTAGTTCAGTTTTTTTAAAAACATCGCTTTTTGTCCTGATATACACATTATGCTGGGACCCTCAGACTTATAGGCAAATATTTGCAATCATGTGCTCAAGATGTGAAAAATAATGATGCATATCGATGCAATAAAAAATGAAATCTACCACTGCTTTTCCCCTTTCTTCAATCTTTCCCCCTAGGTGGGTCAGGCAATCTTCTATTTAAAGAAGCAGGGAGTACAAATTCTTCCTGCATCTGAGAATTAAGCTACGCAAGCTGGGTCCTTGGCTGCAATCCTTCTCATTAGCTATTTCCATCCTCAAGAGGATTTGAGAAAAGGGGTTTTGTAAATTTCCTGAGCAATCGTCATCACTGGACTCCACCCATGAATCCTGATATTAACGTCACTCTGGGATCTGCCAGGTTATTGATAACGGTTTGGCTAAGGCAGAAAGTAAGATAGATATGAGAAAGCATACACCGGATCAGGAAGAAAGTGGTAAAACAGGGACAAAGAAAGGAGGAAGGATGAGAAAGAGGAAAAGGGAGGGGGAGAGACAAGCGGACAGGGAAGAAAAAAATGGAAATAGCTCATCTACTCCTGCTGCTAACACCCTCCTCCCTGACCTGAGAGAACTACATTTTTAAAAGCTGACAAGTAATTCAATCTCCAATTAACAATTTTAAGTGGTGCAGCACATATTACTGTGTAAATGTTTCTCCAGGAATATATCCAAGGGTGAATGGAATTAAATCTCTGAGGAGACAGGACCATTGCCTATGTGACCCAGAATATTTGGAGGGTTTCAAGATACAGTCTCTTAATACACAGACTCAGGGTTATAATTTCTCCTCCTCTCCTTGATTGCCACTGGCAAACTCGAGTGCTGGTTGGCAGTGATAGGCTAGATTGGGGATAGAGAAGAGGCACGGGAACACAGTGCTGGCACAGGATGGGAAAGCCTCTGACTTGAGATGGATTCAAGACCTTCACTGCAAGACCAAACA